AAGCTAAATAGCAGTTATTAATAAAGGATGAAATAAGAAATAATATAGAATATATAAAAGAGAAAAGAAAAAAGAAGAAAGGTTGAACAAATAAACAGAAAATAAATATCGGAAACTTACAAGTAAATATTACTTTTTTTTTTTTTTAGGAAGAATATAAATTCAAATCAAGACAAATTATTACATTATATTTTTAATATAAAATACTAACAATACTTGCTTCATTAATGAATGGTATCAGTATCTATCTACATATAATTATTGGAAACCATAAAGCTTATTTATTTAGTTATTGGTGAGGGATTCAAGTATAAACTCGATTAATAATTTTTCATTGAAAAATCGATATAATTAAGGAATGGATATTTACCTAAAATAGCAATGAATATATCATATATAATCTAATAAATGATACGGTATACTATTATTGATACTTTTTATTCTAATAAAGTAAAATGATGAATAGATGTTAAATATAAGTAATAATATTCTTTCTACCGAATTTTTGGCTAAATATTTATTTTATAAAAAAAACAAACAAATATATATTTAACTACTAAACACTAGACCATCATGGGTTCTGAAAAATTAATTTTTTGATCAAGAGATGATCATTAATTTTGTAATTTTTATTTTATCTTACTTATTTTTGGTTAATTCATTACCAATTCCAGAGAGGATTTTTTCCATTATTTTTTATCATGAAATAAGCGACTATATATATATCGATTCCATAACAATCTTTTTTATTATTATTATGTAATACTAATTTATCTTTTTTTTTTTTTTTCTAATTCTTATGAAAAAAAAACGATTTCTATCATCACTTTATAATGGAGTATATATGAATGCATAATACGATTTATTTTTTTTTCCCCTTATCTTTTAACCTGTAATAGTTGTAAAATATTTTTTAATAAATTCAGTTATTTTTATATTTTAATATACTTGTATAAAAAATAATTTAAAACAATCAAATCAGCATTTTTCATACTTTTAAAAAAAAACCTTATTTGATACTTGATTCAATTATTTGATACTTGTCTCTTTTTTAAATAAATTCTAGACCTATGATGAATTTATAACTAAGTACATACTATTTGAGCAATATTATCTACTATAATTTATGAATTCAAATAAAGAAAAAAGTATATATACCTACCCCCCTTCCCCTTATTTTTTTTTTTTTTTTAAATTAGCATTCAATAAAGAATAGGAACACATTATTATATTATTTATTTATTAAAAAGGTATTATAATTTTGGTATTAAAAAAGAAAAAGATAAATGGTAAAGATTAAAAGTTTTCTACAGCGATGATATCCCAGCAACCTGTATCAATTCTTACAAGGCCATTTAAGCGAGCTAAGGTCTCAACAACTTCATCTTTTGTAATAGTAGGAGAAGAAAATGAAGAAGTTGATGAATCAGTTGTATTTTCTTGAATAATGACCATAGACTCTAACCAAGGAAATAAATCTGGAGATGACCATAATGATCGAATTATTTCCCAAAAAGCGAATGTACAATTTGATGGTAAAGAATGAAGTGTTAATTGATTTAAATTTGGAAACATAAGTTTTACTTTAGCCCAATCTAAAGGAATATTAGATAATAAACCTATATCTAAAATGTGTATATTTGGAAACACTAAAGAAGTATGATGATGTATTAATTTTTGTAATGGCAACATTGAGAAATTAAAGGATTGTAAATGATTTTGTATGTTCGTTAAGAAAGAAAATAATTTTGTATCCTCATCACTGAAAGCACTAATGCTTGTCGTCGTCGTTGTTGTTGGTGCTGTTGTTGATGTATTATTATTTTCATCTAATGGTGAAATAGATAAAGTACGAAATAGAATATTATTATTATATTTTGTTAATACATTCCAATAGTGAATAGGGTTCGATGCTACTATATTTAAATCAACAGTCGTAGATTTATTATAATGAATAAGGATATTTTTTAAATATTCCATTTCCGATTGATTTGAATCCAAAATAAAAATTTCTTTTGCATTTAATTTTTTATATGATGCTGGAAAAGGTATTGGTCGAATGCTGTTTGGAAGGATGGATCTATGGTCTAATATAATAGTATTCTTCCATAATGTGTAATCCATTGATAATCGTTGAAATCGTTTACAAGCACTAATAATAATAAAAACATGATGATTAAATAAAAAACAAAATAAAAAAACCCCAATCCAAGTTCCTTCCCTTCCACTCTCTCTTTCTACCTCTTTTTCCCTGTCTAGACAACTTACTTTGCAAAATAGATTAAATTTAGATGATTTTCTTGTTTAATCAAGTGAAAAATCGATAAAAGAAGTTCATCAGGTAAATGATGTATGTGAGTCATGATGGAATAAAATGAATAAGAAAAGTAATAAATAAATAAATAAATAAAAAAGAGAGAGAAATAAATTTTCCATCATGATTTCTTCTCCCCTCCTCCTTAATATAGATTTCTTCCTGCTAAGTAGAGCATTTTTTATGTCATTTTTACAGTCATGCGCCTTTGTAACTGACAACATGATGGTTCATGCTATTTGTTTTTAAACCCCGAGCGGTTCTTTTGGTTATTTTTATAATACCATCACATGTTTAAAAAATCCCATTTTCCTCCTATCAATTTCCAAGTCTTTTTTATATGTATTTATCAACAAATAGCACGTTCTCAGGGAGAATATGTTTATATAATAATAAAAAGAAATTCACCGTTTTTCTCTTTTTTTATTAAATTCATTTTCTTTCCCTCTTGCTCTCTCTCTCTCTCTCTCTCATACACCCATTACCTTTTTTTAAATAAAATAAAATAGAATTAACAATTAGTATACCTGATTAAATTAGTTCTTTATAATATCATCAATTGATTTCCATTGGTTCTTTTTACGGTATTGTGAAAGATGATGTCATTAAACGGTAGTTCTACACTAACAGCAAATAGATATACATATAATTAATCTAACCTTAATTAGGAAATTATCAATGTCTTATTATAATCTTGCTCTAGATTAAATAAAATCAAGTTGTTTAAAAGGAAAGGAAAAAATATATATCTATTCAATAATCTATCTATTGCCACTTTCAATAATTTTCCTCATGCATCCTATGCCGTTGCCATATTTTAATATTTACTCTTTATATAAATGCTCGAGGCCTTTTTCTTTTTTTTAATAATAAACATTATAAATATTACTTTTTGGTTCACTTTTTATTTATTTTCAGATGTTTATTGATGTTTGATAATATAAATATTTAAATAGTTTAAAATCATTTTAAGCCATTCTTAAAAAGGAACCACTTAGCTTAATCTTAATATATATATAAATAAAAAACCATTAACAATAGTATAATTTATTTATTTATTTTAAATCACCTTCCATCAACTTGCACTTGTAAAATTAGTACTAATGCTAGCTTATATTCCATATTTAATCAATAATCATAAATTTTATTTCTTATTATTATTATTATAGTTTTGCTGGTCATAAAAATAGTAAAGACCATTTAAATAATATCAGCAGTTTATATTTTTTTGATTATAAAATAAAATAACTTGTTTATCCTTTATTTATTTATTCCTTTCATTTTGTCGCTCAGGATAGCGATTCTATTTATGTTTAAAAAATATATAATATGTATTTATTTTTTTATCAGTCTTATGTTACTCACAGCCGTATATCCTTGACCATGTATTCATTTCCCTTCTTTTCTCTCTTTCTCTTTCTCTCAAATATTTAAACTTGGTTTTAAAAATGATTAAATTTGAAATTTTTTACTTTTATAATAATATCAAGTTTTTTTTTTAAGCAAACCATATATAAATTTCTTATTTTTTCATTTTTTTTACTTTTATTAAATCATTGTACCTACTGCCGTGCAGGATAGTAATGCTACCAATGTTTAAAATATTTACTTTTATTCATTTGGTCATCAATCTCACATCCTTGACTGTATGTCCTTGACCGTATCTCCATTCTCCTTCTCTCTAAAGAAAAAATTTGTTTTAGTGTAAATAAATTAGAGTAACTTTCTTTCTTTCTTTCTTTTTTTTACTCTTTGTCAAATTTTAAATACTATTTTGTATAATAAATATTTCCTTTTATTTCTTTTTATTTTAATTTTTTTTTTATCTCATTTTACCTTTATCTTATATTATGTCGACAATGGTATTACCAATGATGCTCCTTAAATTCGAGTACTGTTTTTTGGAGTAACCGCTCCTGAAGTGGCTATTCCATACGGCAATCACTTTCATCTCTTTTACCTACTCTCAATATACTTCAAATAATTTTTTAATTTTTTAATATAAATAGAACCAATTTTTCTCTCTTTCTTTTTCTTAAATTGTCAAATTTTTATAATAAATTATTATCTACTAAATAATTATTAATCTTGTCCATTTTATAAATCATATTTTATAATTTTATATTATTTTACTTATAACATATTCATATTACTGAAATTTATCTATTTTTTATAACAAACTATATTATTTTTCTTATTTTTATATTTTACTTTTATATTTATTTACTTAAATATTTTTTAACAACTCTAAATTTAAATTATTTTTAAATTTTTATATTATCTTCATTTTACATTGCGGTTACTGAAATCTTACTTTAATCCTGCAACTATATTACACTTTTAAATTTTTATATTTATTTTATATTTTATATTTTACTTTATTTTCTTTTCTTTTTATTCCTTTATATTAAGTCGTTCCACTTATAAAACAGGAGCTGGTGCTCACTGGAATTATATTATTCATATCAAATATTACTTATAATACTCATTCCTCATTTCAAAAAAATAAATCTTAAACAAAAACTCACACAACACTAAATTAATCCACAACAACAACAAAGGAAATTTTATTTTTTAAACAAACAAAATAATCCACAACAATACTCATTCCTCTTTTCAAAAATAAAACTTCACAAAATCCATAAATAGGATAAAATATTACCCGAAAACCAGCCGCAAAAAGTTGAGGGACGACTGGGAATCGAACCCAGAACCTGTGGATCTGCAATCCAATGCGATAGCCATTACGCCACCGTCCCTCAAGGTTGAGGGGACATTTGGAAAAAAAATCATGATAGTAAGAAAAATATTTTTAAAAAATTAAATGAGATTAGAACGGATATAGATAATAGAAACGGTGGGAATTTTATTATTGGAGAGGGAAATATTGATACCATAAAATATTTGAATAATAAAGCTACAATTGTTAATAATAAAGCAACAAAAAATGAATATACGTAGAATAGAGAAGAAAGAAAAAAGAAAAGGAGTTTTAAACCAGCAATTCCAAAAAATAGATATAAAAATAAAGTTCGAACTCCTTCCCTAATAGTAAATATATGCACAGGGGGAAAATTTACCAAGTTTTTTTGTCGGAATTTTAAATTTCAACAATATAATAGTTTTTAAATATATGGTTTGTATTATTTGAAAATCTCCTTTACAAAAAATCAATGTTCTAGATATTATATTATGACTTCGTTTTATTTATCTAAGTTATAATTAACAATTAAATTGTATATATTAATATTAGTACTATATAATTATTGGCGCAATATTATAATATATATTTGTGTTGGCGTTATTGCACTATCATTGCTACTAACTCAGAATAATGCCAAAGCCTAAAAATTTTTAAAATCCGAGTTTGATATATAGCAAAAAAAAATAATAAAATTAAAGTCAGATTAAAGGGCTAGAGTTCAAATAAGTAGAAATATGCAGTTTAGCAATAATTTAAGATTAAAATAAAAATTATAACAAAAGTTTTGAAAACGAGAAAAAGCTTCATCTTTATTAAATTGGAAATAAAATTGAGTTTATATATTTTTTTAAGATACACAAAATATCATTAAAGTTATTAATCAAAAAAAATAATGAAAATTATAATTAAATCACTACGGGCAAATTGGTAAAATAGTGATTAAGAATTATTTCACTCAGATCAAGTTCTCTGTTTTAAAATTTCGACTTCATTTTTTTAATTTTTAGTTCAATTTAAGAATAGCTTGTTTTTAAACATAATAGTGTTATTATACTATTTATTACAAGCGTTATGTTTTAAAAATTATTAAATAAAATTTATGGAGATTATTCAGATACATGCGATCGCAACTATTCGCTCGCGAAAGATAAAGTATTTTGTTATTGAAGCATTTTCAACCAGCACTATAACTATGATTCTTGAATTTATCATATTAAAAATCAAAAGTAAAAAGAGAGATGAAGAAAAATGTGAAGCTTTTGGTTAAACTTTATTCAAACGTTTTAAAAAAGTGATATATTTATACTTTTTAGTGGATTAGTGATAATAAACTTAATTTGTATATTACATAGTATGAAATAAAGTTATAGAGTTATCTAATCATTATAGCGTGGATTAGAATAGAATATAAAGTATGTATATGAAAATGGATTTACAGAATTGAAAGATTTAAGTTTATGATATAGGACAAGTTAATATAAATAGTTCATTTTATATTAGGTATACGGTAGTGATTTTATAATAAATATCAAATATTTTACGTGAAGTAAAAGCGTATTATAGATCACGAAGCCATTCAATGTTATTATTTTATATTAAATACAACACTCTAATCATAAATCCAAAAGCTATATAGAGACCAACTTGAAAACAAGAATATAAAATAATAGCCTTTTCATCTTTTTATACTTTTATGATTTTAAGTTAGACATTTTTATTTTTTGCATAAGAATGTCTATTTTATTTAATGTGCTTTGTTGATGATCTTTACGTAAAGTTGTTTTCATTTTTAAGTTTTTGTTCTATTTTACTCTTCTACATTTTGTAATTATTTCTAAACAAAATAAAAAACTCTAATAGAACGGTACACGAATTCGACAAAGAGATGACCACATAAACACGTTATGATGATAAGGATATTGTTTCTAAAAATTAAAAAATATTAGAATGAGTATAGATAATAATAACGACAGTAAGTTTATTATACAAAAAGAAAATAACAATTTAATTATAACTAATAATGTTGTAAAATGTTTAACTAATGGAGCTACAACTAGGAATAATGAAGAAATAAAAACTAAAAATATGGATAGTGAAAAAGGTATAAGAAAAAGGAACTTTGAACAAAAAATAAAGATAAAAAAGTCCACAGCTCGAATCAACTTCTTAAATTAGATCAATATGTCAAATTTGATATGATGATCAAATTAAACAATAATAAAATAAAATAAATAAATAAAAAAAAGCATCTTTTTACTAAGAAAAGTTTTATTTAAAAGAGAATAAAACAAATTATCATTTAGAAAAAAATAAAATTTCCCTTTAAAAGATAATATATATACAAATATATATAAACAGAAGAAAACGGCATAAAAAAAAGAAAATGGTTTTAAACAGTAGGAAAATCAACTTGATTATATTTTATTTTCAAAATTCACTATATTTTTATTAAAATAAAATAAAATAAAATAAAATAAAATAAAATAAAATAAAATAAAATAAAATAAAACAAAGTAAACATTGGATTAGAGATTGCTTCAGATCTTACATGTAATCGGGAAGATGTAATAAAGCTGTCATTCCTTCCTTCTGCATTTCCGATGTTATCATTGGGAGAAAATGCTTAATGGCAGAATCTAGATCGCTGGTATCATCACCATTAATACTTAATCTCATTTTCCCACCTTCTATTACATTTATACTTGTTGAATAAGCATATTTTCTTTCCACGTACCATTTATCTTTGTTTTCTACCATATGCTGTATTATTTCCATGGTTTCTTTCTCTTCAGATGTAATAAGACTAGCTCTAGGCACCTTACCAGATAGTATATCCTGTATATCAAACGTGGTAGAAACTGACGAACAACCCCAGCCCCATGCATAACAATCTTCCTCTATATCCCAGGTACCATCTTCTTCCATCTGAACTGTTGCATATCCCTGCTCATAACTATATGCCCAATCTTCACTATAACAATCAGTAATTGTCCAACCTTCATTTCCATCTTCTAATATAGAATTTACTTTGACATAATCTTTTGTGTACACTGCTTTACAAAATTCTGGATATGGAGTGTCATCCCAAATACCTAATTTTGCCGGAATACGGTAGTTATGTTCGCCTGTATCTCGTTCTTTCACATATATACTTTTTGCCAGGTCTATATAACCACTTAATGCTAACCATAATACATTCGTAGAGGGAGATACATCTGATATCATCCCTTTTGATCCTAAGTATACGGCTTTTTGTTCATCGTCTAAATATTTTCTTAAATTTTCATCCTGCCATAATTTATCTAGCATCTCCAGGTTTTCTGAGTTACAATGTATCAAAGAAAATGGTTTTTCTATAGTTACGTCTACCATGTCTAATTTTCCCTTGCGAATATAATATAGATTCATGTCTCTTATGTTCGATAATTCAGGACCTATGTATCTCATACCAAATATAAATTCCTTTTCATGTGCCAAACGATTTGCCGCGCTGCAATATCTTGTATTCCATACACGTATTACTTTCTTTACTACATCCTCATCTTCTAATTGTACACACTTAATCATAGGCACATCTACCTCCGAAAAATAGAATGTCTTCATTTGATATAGTAACTTGATATCTCCACCTCGTTCCAGAATACGGTTAAGAAGGATTCCAGGTCCACCTTCGATAAATAATCTAATGCGATCAGGTTTTCTACCTAATGCAAGAGAAGTATAAGGATCACAGAATTTGGCAATATAAGAAATGATTTCATTGGATAAATTCATGTTGTTTACTTTTTATTTTTATTTTTATTTTTGAGAAATAAAGATGAATTTTATTATAAAAAGATTTTGATTTATATTTATATGTTTTCTATCGGTATGTAAAATATATTAAAG